TTCTGCATTCCAACAAACAAGGGTCAAAGTGTACCCACCATAAAAACCAGAGCAAAAATTAGCCCGAAAGACAGGAAACATGTCCTTCCCCCATTGGCCTGGTGTCTCTAACGTGCTTTCACTTTCACAATTGTAACTATTTTATTTAAAGCACATTCTTTTTGCGTTGATAATTCACTAAAATGGGAATTGTACAATGTAGGAGTTGATAGGCAAGTGTTTTCGTAATCTCCTTTCTCTTTTTTTATCTTCTGCAATGTATAACGATAATGACCTTTGTGGCGTCAACCCAAAAGGATGTCATGTTTAGCACCTATCAATCATCCAAACTAGTTTCAATTCCAGGTTCTGCGGTGAAAACAGAAAGAGGTGTGGGTTACAGGAATCTAACTGAATTGAAAGAACGACGAGTTTTCATCAGGTAAACTGTTGAAGGCTTTCCCTTAGTCCCAAACAATGGCTGATTCTTTGTGAAGTTAGATTGAAGGTTTCATTTCATGTTTTGCGGGCTGCAGCAGCAGGTCTAAGTTCATCAAGGTCATTGTGCTAGTTTCATTGAATTACTGAGTTAATGTAAGGATGTGCTTTCAAATCCCAATGAGTCATGCAGTGAATTATTTACTATGTAGTTTGTATGACTCACATGTCTGGCTAAAAGGTAAATAATGTTATGAACGTTTGACAGTTTAAGGAAGTGAGGATTGAGGCATCTTATAGGAAAAAAAGGTTATGCTAAATAATAAGACTTTCTTTGCCTAACTACAGTAAGTACACATGTATTATTAATCATTCATAATACTAGCTATTATTTTTCTACCCACAGTTAAACTAGCTAAATATAACATTAGTAGTTAAACTCCACAGGAATTTGTGGAAGCAATATTCTTTTATCCTATATTTAATTGCTATATTTATTCTATATTTAATCCATAATTGCTGCATACATACATAGGTTTACAAATTCACTTTAATATTCTAATAAGTATTATTTAATATATCTAAATAAATAATTACAAAATATTAATTTTCATGCCTACATTTAGGGTAATGTAGATATATATGTTTATGTGTGTATATATATATATATTACAGATTTCTTATGATGTAATAAAATATAATACAATAATATAATATGAGGATATACACTGAAAAAAGTCTGACGAACCATTTCGCATTCAAAACAGTGAGGTGGTGCGTCAGGATTAATGTTAACAAAGGATGTGATTTTGAGAGCGTTGCTTTTCTTTCAGATAAATATCTGGAACAAACTGAGTAATGCAGACCTTCTGGAAGCACTGTGTGGGTGTTGCTAGCATTTTCAAATATTATTTCTATGTTGTAAGAATGAAAGTTTGGTGTATATGGCACAAGAGTTGAGTATAGAATACAGGGATTTCAAAGGAATATACAGATTACTTGTTCATTTATGTCAATACGATTATATGCATGTTTAAAACTGTGATGAGAAAATGTGGAGTGAGTTTGCAAATATAAAGATGACAGAAGACACTGAAATATACACTGAGTCAGTGTGGTCAGATGAGGTCTTAATGTGGGAATTTCCAGAGGTGGACTCTTCTACTCCCCAATGGTTTGTGCTTTGAGAATAAACAGCAAATATGAAGAAATCACTAATAATTGATAGAGCTCATAACTATTTACACATTTTACAACTTGTGCAACATAATTCTTAAGGTGATAAAGACCGATGCACTGTAAAAAAGTACGCTTCACAAGAAAATATTATTTCAAAAATACTATTTTATTTCACTATTTCTTTCTACTTTGAAATTTCACACTTAATTCATTGTTACTTGCTGTTTCTTTGAAATCATTTGTAAAGATTACTAGCAATTTCTGAGATAAAATTGTTTCTGCAACAAATTTTGACAATATTACATTTTGAGCAATCTAATACATGTTTTACATATGATTAACATATTCTTTCAGTACCTGCATCAGTCGTCCATGATTGAGGTGTGGCTTTATCTTAAAACTGTTTGTCTCTTTTTATATGCACAGGCCAAGAGCTTGTAACACTCCAAAGAGAAAGGAAAAATTTAAATCACATCATATGACCCCTTTAAATGTGTCATGACAATGGATCATTGAGAAATTATCTCAATGGTATGAATGTATGTTCAGACAGTCGGAGTTGTGCAAAGTGCTCTACACTTGAGAACCCCGAGGGAGGCATCAGCGAGATGGTCTTATTTTTTTGTGTGTGCGTCTTTCCGTCTGAAACAGTTTCCCTTGAATTTCCCCACAGGCTTTTTCTTTGCAGGAATGTGCAACCATTTATAGTCATGCTTTTATTAACCCGGAACAGTTACATGGATTTGGAAAACCATGATTGTTGCACAGTGAGTAACAATCTGCTGATTATGGTAAGCATGAACTGATGTAGTGAGTAATTACACTTCATGTTGTTTGGGTACGTGCCAGTAAGTCTCCAGGTGCTTTACCTGCATCACAAGGTTTGTGACATCACAGATGTTTCCCTGTGCAACCTGTGTATTTACAAATATTCCACTTGGCAATCAACCATCCTTTAATTTGACATATTTATTTATATATTAAGCACAGGACTTTCAATAAACCATTAACCAAAATGGTTTACAAGGAATGGAAATGGTTTCACTTGTTTTCAGAAAGTTTTTTTTTCTTCAGTTTTTAAAGTTTTGTAACTTTAAATATTAACTTGCAAATACACTGCAAATATGAAAATATCATGTGCAAATGGTGTATATGCATGTGTCCTCACCATGAAAATATGCAAAAACATCATGAAAGTCCCCACATCCCCATGCAGCGTAATATCCCAAACACAAACTGGTCAGTTGACATTTTATTGACATGCTTACTATCTTCAACATGTGAACTTGCAATGAATTTTTAGCACAATATTCCCTAGTACTTTTACTTCAGCCATCTGCTCTTGATACAGTTGTAACGCAACATGAAATGTCATTGTTGGGGATCTGTGTTATTTTAGTATCATTGACATACTAATATAGCTTTTATTGATAGTTTTAAATTGTTTTTTTGTATTAAAGTTTTGGTAATATTGTTGTGTGTTTTGTTAATTTTATTTGTTTTTTTTTAATGTCTATATAGTTTTTATTAATTTTTATTTCCATTTTAAATGTAGTTTTAATGTATATTATTTATATGTAATATGTATTATATGGAATATGTATTTATATGTAATATACAGTCATTTTTATGTAATTTACAGTTATTATAGTACATCAAATCAGAATGTTTACTTGGCAACTAGCTGTGATTTTTTTATTTTATTTGGTATTTATTTCAGTTTTAATGTTTAATTTATTTCAAGCAAATGGTTTTATTTTTAGTTAAATATAATCACCCTGTTTATTTAAATCTCTGTTTACAAATTCCCATTACAAAAAAAAAAAATGTAGGAAACAGTTACTCTAGTGTGTGTTTATATAAGGGAATTAAGTTAGGCCTCTAATCAAAATGATAATCATTCTATCAAAGCATTTGTATGTGGATATGAGATTTTAGAAACGTGAATCTTTCTGTCAAGTAAAATAGTTTGATCATAATATATTTCTGTTGATATTTAGGTTTTCCTTGCCTGACACCATTTTGTATATGATTTTAAAAGTAGTGAGGTTACTATTTTGATACTTTTATCTACCAGCAAGTGTTTTTTGCCTTAAAAGTAACAACTACTCAGCAACAGACACTGAGACCAGCAGTCACACTTTCCCAAGACAGTGTAGCATCAGGGGAAATATTAGTTATTTTAAAGATGCAACTAAGACTGAACGAAATCAATGGCTTTAGAGGAACTTCTTACACTAATATTTTAATATCTTACATAAACAGTCAAGTGTACATACAGACAGTGGACCAGAGTAGATGGACGTTCATCTCATATGAAAGACTCTGGCGCCATCTAGTGTATTAAAAGGCGCTGAGCCTGTCATAAACGCTTCCAAATGCACTCTGTCCACAAACATTGTCTATTAATGTGCAGAGGAGACTAACTGTTGCGAAACTTTTGGTGTATGTTCTTTCTCACAAGACGAAAAAAAATCTGGGTAAAATGATCTGGGTGATCGTGCGATGCTGCCATAAAAAAATACATTGTACAAGTATTGCAAAATGTACGGATAACTTGGCATAAACAAAAACAAAACAAACATGCTATTAGTTATAGATTAAATGCGATTATTATGAGCAAATGCATAAATATATACATACATAAGAGTGCTATTGTGTGTAGCGATTGGAAGTCCGACTCATTTCAGCTGATCGGTTCTTTTAAACAATTTCACAGAACCGGTTCAATGATTCATTTTATGCTCATGCTGTACGTGATTACGTAATCACGTTAGGTTGTTTGCACATGACGTCACTGATGATGCGCGAAATGCAGCTGGAGGGCAGGAAGTGTTTAACAATGCAAAACACTGGCATTTTGAGTTTCTGCTAGTGATTCCTATGGAGAGAAAAATCACTTTCTGCCCTCCAGCAGCATTTCGCGCGTCATCAGAATCACGTGATTGCAAACAACCTATAGCGCAAGCGGACATTAAACACTAATTCATGTAGACACATATTGCTGTTTATTACGTTTTTTAGTTTTATCTTCAAGAACGTTTGTTGTTCATGTGCCCGAGTTCAGTCGCAACAATGATTTAGCTCCGAAATATAGCTTAATCTAAAATTAATTCTCTACAAAACTGTACAAAATTGTCTTGTCAGATAAAACATTCATACAATCACGGGATAAAAGTACTTCCAATACGTTTTATTTTTAACATTTTGGAAAGTTGTCTAACATTACGGTTCTTGGCTCATTACAAGTCGGACGTTCGTTCGAGCAGAGGAGGTTCTCAGTTCATGTCAGTTCACCGATTCAGTCCAATTCGTAAACGAATCATTCAACCACTCAGACGGATTTTGTGGAGTCATTAAAAAGATTCGACTCAAAAGAATCAGATTTCAATAGTGTAGTGGGCGTTGTGATCTGTGTAAACAGAGCTTGCATTATTCTGAGCAAGCACAAGCAAAAGCAACGGCGTATGCGAACATTCCGTTAACAACTTGTAAAATCAGATTTTTAATGTCGTGACTTTTTAGTTTTCATCCATTTTTGCTCTCTGGTTCTCTGGATATGGGCTAAATGTTCGAAAGCTGTCAATACATATACAATGGGTTCGACGAGCTCCACCCTATTAAAAATCCCAAACGTCGAGGTGTTGATGCAAGAAACTGGCTGTGAGTGACATTTGACACAATTGTGTTTTGTTACTGGCTTATTGCTGTCGCGCTTGAACGAGTAAACAACGATATGAAATAAAATTTTTCCTGCACGTTTGTTGCCATTTTTATTTGTAACTCTCAGGCGTATGATAAAAATATCTGAAATATTGGGTAAAAATTCGGTTTGCATGAGCGAAAACTGTCCTAGATTGACAGTGACAGGTGCTGTTCAGTTTGAGAATTTACCAGTTGCAAACGTGTTACTCAAATACATTGTACAAAAATTACATGTATGTCTATATGTCGAACAATTTAAAAATAAAAATGCACTAATGAATTTCAGTGAAGCTGGTTGTAGAGGAGAATTGATTGGTTTGAAATGGTCAGTTCTATTTGTTTACGGTCCACGTGAACTCGTTTGTTAGCCTATTTGTTGAGTCATGATTCTACAGGGCTTCTGTGAAACATTTTCACAGTTAATGTGATTTCTCTTTTCCAGTCTCGCCTGCCCACATTATTCGTCTCCATGATCGCTTCAAAGCTCTGGATAAAGAAGGACGAGGTCATCTCTGGTGAGACTGATATCTTAGTTATATCCATGACACAGACTCAGTTAAGATGTCTTTTGTAATTACAGAAATATTGACCCTTTGGTCTTGTCTCATTCTCACACAGTCCCCAGGATTTTGGAGCCATAAAGGAGCTGGCGATGAACCCCATAGGAGACAGAATAATAGGTGCCTTCTTCTCCCCAGGGTAATGAATCTTAGCATGAGCTCCAAACATTAGGAGAGTGAAAATAATTGATGTTCACACTGGAGTCTTGAATATTGGATTCTAGCATAAAACACTGTAGCAAGTCCTGAACTGTCTGTTCAATGTTTTTTTTCCATGCCAAACTGTTGTATAATTTATTTCAGATAACCCCACCCCTAAATGACACATAAAAACTAAACTGGTGGTTAGTCGATTCATATTTTGGTCTTTCCTGTCTAAGTTGGTGGTTATTGACAAAAATAAACTGCACAGTGATCAGGAAATTAGTTCTGAAAGATACAGCATGCTTGAATACATTTCTCAAAAAGGTCTTTTTCAGTTGTGTCTTGAAGTCATAAATAATGATGATAATCTCAGGAAGGAAACGGTGGACTTCCACACTTTTGTGAAGATCCTGGCTCATTTCCGGCCTGTTGACAAGAACCGACCCAAAGAGCCCAATTCTCCTGAACCCATCAATAGCAGGAGCAACAAACTCAAATGTATGTTTGCTTTTGCTTTTACCCGGGAGATTACCCACATCCTCTCAGTAATGGAATGGGCAATGTTACTGTAGAGATAATGTACATTCAGACGGCCATTATCACAGAATAAAGGACACCCCGAAAGGGTTTATTTCACGATAATGACCATCTGATTGAATAATATCCTGCTTATTACACTGCTGTTCACCCTTTTGTGAAGATCCTGGCTCATTTCCGGCCTGTTGACAAGAACCGACCCAAAGAGCCCAATTCTCCTGAACCCATCAATAGCAGGAGCAACAAACTCAAATGTATGTTTGCTTTTGCTTTTACCCGGGAGATTACCCACATCCTCTCAGTAATGGAATGGGCGATGTTACTGTAGAGATAATGTACATTCAGACGGCCATTATCACAGAATAAAGGACACCCTGAAAGGGTTTATTTCACGATAATGACCATCTGATTGAATAATATCCTGCTTATTACACTGCTGTTCACCAAATAAATAAATAAATAAATGGACATGAGATATTGATTTGAGTCGAAATAATCTTGTTCCATTAAATCTCGCCTGGTTCTTCATTCCTGTAGTTGCGTTTCAGTTGTATGACCAAGACCAGGATGGCAAGATTTCCAGAGATGAGCTTTTAAAGGTCACTAGCTTCTTCATTCATGTTTTCAGCTGTTTTCTCACAAAATGATCAAGACTGACAGCAGACTGATTGACAGGTTCTCCAGGCCATGCTGGGGATGCAGGTGACAGAGGAGCAGCTGGAGAGCATAGCAGACCGCACTATACAGGAAGCTGATCTAGACCGTGATGACGCAATATCGTTTGAGGAGTTTCGTAAGGTATCGCCTGAAATTCTGCATTCACGGTGTTTCATAAAAGCACCTGTTATTATGTTGATGGAATGTGACTGCTAATAATTGTGTTTCAACCTGTTTATTGTTTAGTCTCTGGAGAAGGTCAACATTGACCACAAGATGAGCATTCGCTTCTTGCGCTAGACTACTAGAGCATCATGGGATAGCGTGTATGCCTTTATCTCCAAGCTTCAGAAAATGGAAGGAATATCCCAAAATGCCCAGGACAGTATGACGGGATCAGTGTTTGTCTGTCTAACAGGAATTTAACGCACTGGTAATGTCTGCACAAAAACTGCACATTGACAAATATTTACACTACTGGAGAAGTGATTTTTATTCAGCCAGGATGCATTAAATTGATCAAAAGTGACAGTAAAGACATTTATAATGTTACAAAAAGATTTGTTTCAATAAATTCTGTTCCTTTGAACTTGCTATTCAGCAAAGAATCTTGAAAAAATGTTTCTACAAAAATATTGATTAGCTGATAATAATGATTATTACTGATAATAATAAGAAATGTTTATTGAGCTGCAAAGCTGCATATTAGAATTCTGATGTAGAATTCAGAAATAGATTTCTGAAGGATCATGTGATACTGAAAATGGCTGCTAAAAATGCAGCTTTAAAGTCACAGGAAATTTTAAATTACATTTTAAAATGTATTAAAATAAAAACAGTTATTTCAAATTATTGCGGTTTTATTTTTGATTTAAAAAATGCATCCTTGGTGAGCGTGACTTCTTTCAAAAATATTTAAAAATCTTACCGACCCCTATAGATTTTTGCATTCTGTGTCTTGATGAATTCATTTTACTGAATTGATTGGTTAATTTTGTATATAATTATAACTAGCAGGAAAGAGTTCAGAATAGTGTTCAGAATGCACAGTGTTGAATTGTCTTATGTCACCCAATGTGGGAAAAAACAATTTTTTTCTCTCTCTCTCTGTGAAGTGTGACAATCTCAAGGTAAGATTTCCCAAATCTGAAGGTTTATTAGATGTTTACGCTTTCATCTCGGTGGTGTTTTAGCATCTTGGTTGCATGATGCTTTCCATACATTTTTTTAATTCTGTAAATTTATCTTAATTCCTGATAAAAACTGGATTTTTTTTCTGAATTCAAATCTTAAAAAATTTGTTATTCTTTCAATGCAGCTATGCTTCTTGCAATTTTACCTACAAGTGAGAACCTCAGCTTAATGCACGTATGCATGCTGTACCAAAACCACTAAAAAAAGGGCTTTTTCATCTTTGTATGAAATTTAACTGACTTTTAAGAATGATATTAAAAATGAACTTTGCAGAGTATTCAAAGTATTGTTTGGTATCTTTTTGGACCAAAGTTTTTAAAAATTGCTGACCTCTTCTTGTGGCACAAACCCAATTCGATAAGCAGTGAGCAGTTTTTGTAACTGAAATTCATTTTAAAATGTATTATGCAGTTAGATCAGTGTTTCCCAACCGGGGTGCCGTCTGTCGAGAGCAGGGGTGCCGTGTAAAAAAATCATTTTTTAATATTTTTAAATTGCTAAAATTTTCAAAAAAGCATCTATTATATAATATCCATTTCTGATGTCGCCAATAATTATAGATGCACCGAAATTTCGGCTGCCGAAAATGAGTTCACCGCTCAGG